GTTGTATCTGTACAGTTGACTTTCTGTATTATAAGTTCTACTACTTGCTGGATATTTTTATATATACTGTTATTTTGTCTTGTAATAGTTAATTACACACTCCTTTACTCCATATCATAGCAGTGTTATTCATATATTAAAACTGTCAACTGCACACTCATTTGGCAGAATAAAAGTTTGACAATTATTCATTTGTTCTTTATTGTCATATTTCAGTAACAGTTATAATTAAACAAGTTGTAAGTAAACAAATTAAATAAATGACTACAACATTTCCCCCTGTTAAGTGCAGTAGACTGAAATGAATAGCTTTATTTGGAAATATAACATATCTCATTTTTAATGGACTTACATAAAATCTTTCTTCAACATAGACCCCACTAATGAACTGATTAAGTGTTATTTTTTATGAAAAGAAGAGAGAAAATGCACAAAAGTAGGAAAGGAAAAGAAAGTGATAAAATAATAGGTTTTGTTAAATGTTCTTCATATAATGAATTAATTGACAAAGTTTTTGCAGAGTGTGACAAAAAACGTTCGAGGTCAAGCTCCTGGGGCTAAGCCCCCCCTATATCTCAATCCTAGTGACGTCCATGATGTACACACACGCACACATGTACACACACATGTACACACACACATACATGTACACACACACGCACACATGTACACACATACATGTACACACACGCACACATGGACACACACAAACGCACGCACGCACTGAGGACCTGGCAAAAGTCACACACACACACACACACACCATCCGGACCATCTTTAACACTCACCGTCACCGTGAACATCCTGCGGCTCCGGTACGTGCGCTGCTCCATCCGGACTGTTTATTAACCGGGCCGCTGGCCGGTACCGGTTCTCCGACAGCAGACTTCTTCTCCGGCTCATCTCCCGGTAGATAACGAAAGCGATCAGACCCAGGCCGGCAGTGGCTCCAACAGCGAGCCCGATCAAAGCGCTCCTCCCGAGCGGAGAGCTCATCTCCACCGATTCGTTCCGGTTCTAGCCCCTCACAGTCACGGAACCATCGGAACCAGATGCCTTCAGATGTTTGGTCTCCGGCTGCAGATAACAAGATGTGCTGACGTCACACAGGCAGTGACTTTCTTCTGTGTCGCTAAAATGCTAATTAGCCGTCTAACGCGCTGTTTGTTTACTCGTGTCGACAAAAGCTGTACGCCAGCGACGTCGGTGCCGATGTACGGTAGCTAAGAGACGATCCTAGCGTCACTTCCGGTGTTGCATCGAAATGTGTCCCCCGCCGAAAACACCGAACTTGCGAGCCGTTTTAACAACAAGCGGAGTTCTTTTTAACACAGCAATAACATTAGTATTATTGTTGATTAGCCCCGGCAAACCAGGTCAGACATGTGGGAACATATTTGATAGCAACATGAAATTTGATAAACAAATAGCCTTTTTCAGCTCCGTCTTTTAGCTAAAATAAAATCATTTTTTATCGTTCTGACCTGGAAAAAGCTACACACGTGTGGCAAGTGGCAGTAGTGATAAAGGAATAAGTGGTTAAAAAGGTAGCTGCAACAACGCCACCCTGGGTTAACCAAAGGTCTCACCAAAGGAGACCTCACCCCAGCCAGAGTTGTGAGGGAAAACCATGATCTCCTTCAGGAAACTGACACACTGAACCATGTTCTCCACATGGAATGGTCTCACAGATGTGAACAGCTCAAATGCACCCAGGCTGAGTTGACAGCATTTAGAAACAGCCAAACTGTTGATGCCAAACTAAGGGAAATGGCCTGTATATGAGTTAGCACCTTAGTCCTGGAAACATCAGCTCCATCTTAAAGTGTACGACAGAGCAAATCTCAGAAGTCGCCCTCTCACATTGTGTGACCCAATGCTTCGATGCCAATCTGGTAGCAACACGTTGGACTTGAATGTCTGCTAAAAATTGTAGTTTTAACACAAAATGTTGGACCTTTGAATCCGAAATCCTGGAAGACTGTTGTGGTCATTTGTTCTTCGGGCTTGCCGTAGATTGACACGCATGGGTTTATGGGGGTTGGAGAAGAAAGATGAAAATAAAGAAGTAAAATGTTTTGGGGTTATTTTACATGAACACGGAAAACTCGCTCTCTTGACAATGCTGTGACTGTGTGTGGCGTAAAGTGTAACAATAAAGGAAATACCTGTGGAGCCGGGACGGCCCGTGGGCTGTGTGAGCAGTTCTGGTACTTTTGGGTTGTGTGTGCGAGACCCTCACGAAGGTAAAATGTCAAACATGCCTTAAATTCATGCAAGTGCACAGTTGCTGCCCGGGAAGTGTTAGTCACCTCTTGTAGTTGACACCCCACGCAAAACTCACCCCTATTTCAAAGATTACCACACGAGGGGAAAATCGGCTCAGAAAAGTCAAAAAGTGGCACAGTGTCCGCCCGGCTCAGTGCCAAGGTACTCTGAACACTGTTCACAATAAAAGTGTACTTCATGTGTTGATTATGGGGTGCCATTTGTAAAGTCAAACAGTCATAATCTAACAGCAATATTTTTGGTTATTCAGCATATCATAAGAGAAAAAATGGGAGTTCACTTTTTCAAAGTCATATTTTCACCATGTTATACATACATTTATAAATGTTAAAGTTTCCAAAAATATATTTAGTTAGCAAGCTAAATATTCAATTTATAGTCAAATATTTATTTTGCAAACTAAATATTTAGGTCTGATCTAAACATTTAGTTTGTAAAATAAATATTTATTTTCCGAAAAAAATATTTAGATCCCAGCTAATTTTTTATTTTGGGGCTAAACATTTAGTTTGCAAAATCAGTATTTGGAATATAAATATTTAAGTCTGACCCAAAAATATAAAATATAGTGTGGAGCTAAATAACATCATGGGAAATAAATATTTAGCTGGTACTTAAACATTTAGCTAATATGCAAATTCACTTGCCAATAAGCGGAAGTTGTTACCAAAATAAAAGCTCGATCTCGCTAACCTCTATAAACTCTTGCTCTGAACCAGAACTTGTTTATCTCCGGTTCTATTCTTCTTCAGCCAACACGTTGGACATGTTCAGAAGAAAAGAACCGGAGATGAAACCAGTTCTGGTTCGGATCAAGAGTTTATAAAGAAGTTAGCAAGATCCAGCTTTTATTTTGGTAACCAACTTCCGCTTATTGGCAAGCGAATTTGCATATTAGCAAAATGTTTAAGTACCAGCTAAATATTTATTTCTCACGATGTTATTTAGCTCCACACTATATTTTATATTTTTGGGTCAGACTTAAATATTTATTTCCCAAATACTGATTTTGCAAACTAAATGTTTGGCTCGAAAATAAATATTTAGCTGGGATCTAAATAATTTTTCGGAAAATAAATATTTAACTAACAAATCAAATATTTAGTTCCAAAATAAATATTTAATTAGTAAATTAAATATTTAGTTAGTGAATTAAATATTTATTTTACAAACTAAATATTTAGATCAGACCTAAATATTTAGTTTGCAAAATAAATATTTGACTATAAATTAAATATTTAGCTTGCTAGCTAAATATATATTTGGAAACTTTAACATTTATAAAATGTATGAATAACATGGTGAAAATATGACTTTGAAAAAGTGAACTCCCAATTTTTTCTCTTATGATATGCTAAATAACCAAAAATATTGCTGTTAGATTATGACTGTTTGACTTTACAAATGGCACCCCATAGTTGATGACCTCCCCAAACAGGTCATGTGTGGATGGGATCGTGCCAGGAAACATGAACATCTCCAGCTACACCAGCTAAACTGTGCCACCACCAATGACTGTAGAAGAACAGCAGATAGGACATCAGCATCAGTGAACGCTCCTTTTTAACACCAGGGTGTCTTCACCGGCCTGAAACTGCAGGTTAGAATAGTGTAGTAGTAGTGTTGGTCCTTTAGAGGAAAGTAATACGCTCTACAGTTCTACTCTAAATAGTCCAATTCTAACGTCAAATGATAAAATGACTCCTAATGTTAATGTAGGAAACATTATCCTCTATTTATCCTTTAAGTTCAGCAACAAAACGCTGAACCTAAACAAACACAAGTGGACGACACCAGGAGTCACTGATAGGTATGATCTCAGGGGTCGTGGCACATCTACTGCAGAATAACCACGGAGCCCGTCTGTGCCTACAATACTGGTATGTTTCAGCCTGTTAGTGGTTTTATTGTTGAGCAGGTGCCACGTTTTGACATGTCACACGTCTCCTTTTAAAACAAGTTTAAACTGTTCAGAATACAAATCCAGGCTCGGTCTCGTTGGATTGTTGTAATTAAACTTTTGACTGAACAAACCTTCACATGAAACACTGTTGAAAAGGTAAGAAATTAGTTAGTGTTTTGCCTCGTGTACAGTGACGGAGATAACGGCGCAGTGTGCACGGCTCTGGTGTTGGACGAGTTTAATGTTTGCAACAAGAAGGCAAAACAGTCGAATGGCAGGGTTCTCACTGACCAGATATTTCCCGTATTTGACCGTTTATTGGGATGCAGAAAGAACAGAAAGAACTACCCAGACGCATGCAGATGTGCTGACATTTTAATGATTACGCACATCGTGGAGGTAGATTCCCATCAGAACATCTGAGCATTATACCGGACACTGCTCAGTGCAGCTCGCTGTCAGCGCACACATAAGGTGGACAGCGAGCTGAAGATGTGGAGAAGGGAGCGCGTTGGTCACCGGCAGCAGCAGAACCAGAACCATGCAGGAAGGTTCCTCCCACTGAAGCAGTGTTTTCCAAACCCCGTCTCTCAGAGAGACTCGTCACTTAGAAAATGTTCTCTGATGATGAAACTTTGGCTGAATGGCGCTGGTTCCTGTCTCCAGTGTGGCGACGCATCCATGAGCCTGTCTGAGGAAAAGTCCAGAACCTCACATCTTCTTCAGCTCAGAAAGCTCCTTTAGAGACATCTGATCCCACACAAGCAGGTGACCTGTACACCGGGTCTCATGGGAGACCGGGTCGGACCTGTTCAGGTTTACACAGACAGTCTACATTTAGAATTAGCATACAGATAAAAAATGGCTGCAGTAAAATAAAATACATGTAACCCCTTAAGCCCTAGGCCTACTTTGAAGCCTATTCCTCCAAAAATGGTAAAAATGGTATTTAATGGTAAAATGGTTTAGATAGTAGTAGTAGTGCTGGCTTTGGGAATTATTACTACTTCCTCTGTAGTGTGACGGTTGTTTTGGGCCTGTAAGGAGCTGATGTCACAGGCTGCCCATTACAGCAGAGAGCCACAGACCCCTGGTCTAGAGAAAGATGATGTCATACTGCATTATAATCATATCATCAGCTGTAGTCATTCCTACATTAGCTTCATCGTGTCATTTCCCATTTAGACCAGAATAATCCTAATCTGCTAGTCTGATGGATTTGTGGTTCCAGCTGCTTCTGCTGAGTGGAGCTTCTCAACCTGAGGCTCATCCATAGCACAAGAACACCTGAGTAGCCTGGCTATCTTCAGCTCAGCTCAGGGGTAGCAGCTTCAGATGATGACATCATAGATGACCTCATGGCACTAAGAACATGGAGATGTGTCTGCAGAAGGCCTCTGCCATTGTTGAAAGAGGCGGCTCATTTAATCTGGGCCTGTAAACCCAAAGGGCCCCGATGAACAGCTGCACACGGATTGTGTTGTAAAGCGCCTTGGGGGGTTGTAGGACTCTAGAAGACACTAGATCAAATACAGGTCATTTACCATTATTATTATTATCATTGTTAATGTTATTCTCAGCATCATCATCACTGCTGAATGGTGAACAGGAAGTAAGAGGTCTGCAGAGGACATTCAGCTTTCTGCTCTGCACACACACACACACACACACACACACACACACGCACACACACACACAAGCACACACACACGCACGCACGCACACACACACACACACACACACACACACACACACACACACACGAGGTCAAACACCTGATCCGTGAGGGTGAGTTACACAGTGACGGGGCGCTCTGGCAGGTATGCAGTCAGACCAGTTTAGCACATTAACTGGAGGCTGAGACAGAATATGATTCACACAGAAGGAACCAGATCAGCTGCTTCGAGGCTAAGGAACACATCGTGTCAGCCTTAACTGAAAATATTCATTCAACTAAAGTATGAATACATGAGGGGAGCGCATCATGTTGAGAGGGTTATGATGATAGACGCAGACACAGCAGCAGAAATAAATACCTAACAATACCAGAATGAAAATACATAAAAGTATCAAATAAGAAAGATAAACACATAAGAGCAGAATACAAAGATAAAATATACAGGTACGCTACAGAAGGTCTGAAAAGAGGATAAAAGAAAGTGTTTCCTCCATCCTGACGAGTGACAACAGAGACTAACAGTAGGATCAGAGGCTGCTGCAGGAACATCTGACCATCAACACGTCTAAAAGCAAACTAAGTGCTTTAAAAGTGCTGATCTGGTTGTAATGTAGACCGTGTCTTCCTTTTAACCTCATTCTGATTGGTTGTTTATGTCAGGTTGTCCTTTTGTCTCTGATCAGACACAAGTTAGTGTCATCTGCTTCTTCCCAAAGCTCTCTAGCATTTCTAGCATTTTCTACCTAAATCAAGAAGGGGTCCAGAGATCTGTACGACTACCACTCACCAGGAGCAGTCTCATGGTGCTGGTGTCCGTCAGAGGATCCCTGGACTGGTCCCCAGTCCACTGCGGGGACGCATAGACAAACAACCAGTCAAACACTCCGTTTACAGTCTCCTGTTAATCTGACATGCATGTTTCTGGTTTGTAAGAGAAGACTGGAGAACCTGGTCAAAACCCAAACATGCATGGGGAGAACATGCTAACTCCATACATGCTTGCTAACTACCTTCTTTCTGTGAGATAACCGTTCAGCCCCAGCTAGGATCACTTACAGAAATATGTTACTTACTGCAGAGCCTCAGTAGTAGTATTTATTATTTATTTGTTTATTTAAATGAAATCAGCCATTACCTTCTAACAACACGCGTCTTCCAGAATAATTAATCACATTAATGTGTTAGCAGGAGTCTTCGTGCCCGTCTACTTCCAGACCACCAGAAATAATGAATGCAAGTCAGTGAGGCTACTGAAGCTCGTTTCTAATCCTGCTTGTTGTGAGCCATCTCACACCATGCCCACACATTTTAAAGACACATTTTGATACCAGGCTGCACCTGGCGGTAAGGCGTTTCCTGTTTTCAGTGTTGCACTATGTGTAGCTGTTTGGTGTTTGGGGCTCGCTAAAGCTGATTTAATTTCTCTGTACTAGGATATCTCTGAGTTATTGTAGCACATAAGCACGCTAAAACACATTTTCTGTTGTTCCACCTAGCTTTTAGGGAACCATTTGAGTTTGCACGCAGTTTATTTGGTACTGAACAGTTTGCTCGTCCAGTTAGCTTAGCCTCAAAAAAAAAGTTAGCTTAGCCTCAGCACGGCTATGGCTACTTCTGCCTCTGCTTCTCCGTCTCCTATCTCTTGCTCTCTGTGTCAGATGTTTAGTTACTCCTCTGCCTCCTTTAGCGATAATGGTACGTGTAATAAATGTAGCATTTTTGTAGCTTTGGAGGCGAGGGTGTCAGAATTGGAGTCCCGGCTCCGCGCTGTTGAAAAACCCGTGAACAGCCGTAGCTACTTAGCTAGCACGGGGCTAACTAGCTCAGAGCTGCCCCGTAGCGGTCCTCCAGCAGAAGAACCCGAGCAGCCGGGACCTCAGGCCGGCTGGGTGACGGTACGCAGGAAGCATAGAACCCAGCCTGTGGGCCACCATTGTGTATTTGTTTAGTCATGTGACAGCTTTTAATAATCTCAGAAGTGTAAATGTGTGTGGTGTGTGTACATACTTAAATAAAGCTTTAATCATTTTCATTCTATACAAAATCTGAAGATTTTAGAAGCATTCATGTTAGTATATCAGTTATTGGCAATAACAGTGATATTAATATCGGTAATTGGTATCGGCCCAAAAATTTCATATCGGTGCATCGCTATCTAAAAGAATGGCTAACTCACGTGCCGAGGGAACGCTACGGTATAAAAGTCTGACCTCGATTGGAAGGTCATTCAGCTTTGGGGCCTTTTAGTCAACCTCCCTGTAATTCCTACTTCATATAACAGTAATTTAATTTATCCTAGCACTAATTATATTCTTTTTAGTCAAACTTTCAAATGAAAACATCAACAGTTATATTATATAAATTATAATTAATAACAACTGCACTAGCAGGAGATATCTCAGAATCCCTAAAACCCTAAGGAGGACTTTTAACATTTATTAGGCAATCTGGATAAATATTCCAGGTATCTATAATTCTATTATTCCTAGTAGAAATGAACATTCCAGATATCCTTAATAACATTCAGCTAAAAATCTCTGATGTCATGTATATTATATTAGAACAAGTAACATCAGTTACTTTGACAGGTAACTAATTACTTTTACAATGTTGTAACTGAGTTACTCCCTCAATTACTTTTTGGAAAAAGTCATTTGTTACTAACTAATTACTAAGATGCCCAACACTTGTCGAAACACACACCGTTACCTTTCATTTACACTGAAGTACAACATGTGTGACTCGGGGAGTGAGGCAAAGCGGTCGTTTTTCTAGGGACCCATGAGCGGACTGGAAAGGGAAGAGACTTAAACCTGGCTTATGCATCTCGGTCACCCCATGCAAGCGAAAGATGCACGTGCAATGATGGAGACGTTATGTTCTCGGACTTCTCCGTCTCCTGGTGAGTATTGCAAAGCAACTCCTCGCCAGGACAACAGAGGGCGTATCATTTTCTTGGGTGTCCTATCATGTATCCAGTCCAGGGTGTGTTTTTTGTATTTCAGAGACTTTTAAACTCTTCACGTGCTCGCCACCTCTAAACTCTAGTATCCGGTCATTTCCGTCCGAGCTTGTTGCATATCTCTAGTCCTTCAGTCACCATATCTCTAGTCCTTCAGTCACCATATCTCTAGTCCTTCAGTCAACATATCTCTAGTCCTTCAGTCACCATATCTCTAGTCCTTCAGTCACCATATCTCTAGTCCTTCAGTCACCATATCTCTAGTCCTTCAGTCACCATATCTCTAGTCCTTCAGTCACCATATCTCTAGTCCTTCAGTCACCATATCTCTAGTCCTTCAGTCACCATATCTCTAGTCCTTCAGTCACCATATCTCTAGTCGTTCAGTCACCATATCTCTAGTCCTTCAGTCACCATATCTCTAGTCCTTCAGTCACCATATCTCTAGTCCTTCAGTCACCATATATCTAGTCCTTCAGTCACCATATATCTAGTCCTTCAGTCAACATATCTCTAGTCCTTCAGTCACCATATATCTAGTCCTTCAGTCACCATATATCTAGTCCTTCAGTCACCATATCTCTAGTCCTTCAGTCACCATATCTCTAGTCCTTCAGTCACCATATCTCTAGTCCTTCAGTCACCATATCTCTAGTCCTTCAGTCACCATATCTCTAGTCCTTCAGTCACCATATCTCTAGTCCTTCAGTCAACATATCTCTAGTCCTTCAGTCACCATATCTCTAGTCCTTCAGTCACCATATATCTAGTCCTTCAGTCACCATATCTCTAGTCCTTCAGTCACCATATATCTAGTCCTTCAGTCACCATATATCTAGTCCTTCAGTCACCATATCTCTAGTCCTTCAGTCACCATATCTCTAGTCCTTCAGTCACCATATCTCTAGTCCTTCAGTCACCATATCTCTAGTCCTTCAGTCACCATATCTCTAGTCCTTCAGTCAACATATCTCTAGTCCTTCAGTCACCATATATCTAGTCCTTCAGTCACCATATCTCTAGTCCTTCAGTCAACATATCTCTAGTCCTTCAGTCAACATATATCTAGTCCTTCAGTCACCATATCTCTAGTCCTTCAGTCAACATATCTCTAGTCCTTCAGTCACCATATCTCTAGTCCTTCAGTCACCATATATTTAGTCCTTCA